CTTGAGGGCCTGACAATTATTTGATAGGATGTAAGTTGAGTTTTGATCACACTCTGATGGAAAGACGCTGAAGTCTATTCGAAATCATTATTTGGATTTGAACCCGAGATTCTTTCTTGTGACACCCTTTTCTTCTACTTGAGCTAGATGTATCTTTAAATTAGGGGGTGGACATATTGATTTGGTTTAACCGACCAAATCATATCAAATCAAATTAAACCGAATGGTCCGAACCGAAACTGGACCATATGCAGTTTGATTTGAGTTTGATAGTATTTCTTTCAAACTGTATAAAACCGAACAGAACCCGATAGAAACCGAAGAAAACTGAACCGAACTAAAGAAATTCAATAAAACTTTCATATATGAGTAAAAAATAACAAATCCAAATTGAACGAACAAAACCAAATCGAACTAAACCGAATAATAGTACTCCCTCCGTCCCAATATAAAAAGCACATTTACGTTTTCAAACATTTTAGGGAGGTACACTGTTTGGCACTGTTTGAACACTGTTAGACACTGTTTGGACACTGTTTGACATTGTTTGGACACTGTTTGACACTGTTTTGTACTTTTTTGTTTGCGAAAAAGGAAAATATGTCTTTTATATTGGGACGACCCAAAAAGAAATATGTGCATTTTATATTAGAACGGATGGAGTATGATTTTTTTAATACTGGTCACCATTAATTTAAACCATTAAAAACAAAGCCGCTTTCTCACATATGGAGTAACAAATAGCCAAATAAAAAATGGGGACCGTTTCCCAAATAGCCGATTGACAACTGCCACTTTCAATTTAGACCAAACTGCTCATTAATTGTAATGCAACACTTTTCCGAGTTTCAGAGTATACCCAGTGTGTGGCTACCAATTAGATCGTACTGCTCAATAATTGCTTTGCCAGCTTTGATTACATCTTCAGATCACTTCAACTAGGCATGGACCCGGTTCGGGCCGCCCGGCCCGGGACCGGCCCGGCCCGCCACTGTGCGGGCCTGGAACCGGCCCGGTTCTCGAGTCCGGGTCCGGGTCGGCCCTAGGCCCGGTGGGGGGGGGTCCGGGCTCGGGCATTGTATTTGGCGAACCGGACCGGCCGGGTCGGGCCCGGGCCGAATTGATTTTTTTTATTTTTTTTTTTCATTTTTTGGGGTTAGCCGGGTTGGGCTTGATGGTTAGGAGGGGTTTGGGGGTTTGGAGGGGTGGGGGGGGTGGGGGGGTGAGTGGGGGGTTAGGAAAGCAAAAAAAAAAAAAAATTATGACCGAACCGGAGGCCCGGCCCGGCCCGGACCCGGCCCGGACCCGGTGGCTACCCGGGCCGGTCCCGGGCCTTCCTTCCCAAAAAAAGCCCGGTCGGGCCCGGCCCGGGTCCATGACTGACTTCAACCATTTGCAATCAGGGACGCATCCAGGATTTCGAGTCAAGGGGGCAAAATTTTTGCATTAGTGTAAAGAGTGAAAAATTTTCGCTAGTAAGCGGAATGGGAAAAAAATTGCTAGTGTAGCGGGGCGAATTTTTTCGCTAGTGTAGGGCTCTGAGGCTAATTTTTATTTAAAAAGTTTCATTAGTACATACTACATACACGATGACAATTAAATCTATTATATTCTAATTTTAATTTTAGACAATGACAGGGATGGATTTAGGGGGGGCGCGGGGGGGCGACCGCCCCCCTTGGACATTCAATTTTTTTTTTTTTACCATATATGTAATATTTTTATAAAACTTTCATAATTTAATTAGATTCGCCCCCCTTAGCTTTTAATTTTCAAAATTAATATATATAGTCTTACATAATGTAATACTTAATTGGAGATTTAAAACAAGAAACATCTAAAATAATTTACATAACTTAAACAAATAAACAATAGAGTAACTCGTTATTTAAGATTTAGGATACTTATTATATAAGAATTCCTAGTTTTGTAATGTTTAATTATCTTTATTAGATAACAAGTACTGGATTTCGTAAAACATATATCAAACAATATTAAATACCAGACACACTAATTACACAATTTTTAGATCACGTGAAATGAATCCAAAATAAAAATATTTATAGACATTAGATTACATAATTCATTTACTTCTTGCGTTCTAAAAATAATTTATTGCATGGATAATAAACTCTAAATTATTATAGAATTAATGAAAATATTAAAATATAATATGCACCATATATGTGTGTGTTTATGTGGTGCATATTATTCTAAAAATAACAATCTCATACATACTAGTATACTACTATTGTAATATTAAGAAAACTTCTCATGAGTCATGACTCACGAACACCCTTCTTGGTGGACAAAAATTACAATTCAATAAACGATTCATGAGGTTAAACAATGTAGAAGTTATTAAAAATGTATTGGTTGAGGTCTTTGTCATCGTCTAAACTTAGAATGTAATAGATTTAAATGTCGTTCGGGATGTACATGTATTAATGTCATTTTTTGAATAAAAATAGCCGCATAGCCCTACAGTAGCAAAAAAATTTCGCCCCGCTATACTAGGGAAAAAAATTTCACCCCGCTACACTAACAAAAAAAATCATCCCCTACACTAACGAAAAATTTCGCCCCCCTTGACTCAGAATCCTGGATCCGTCCCTGGACAATGAAAAGATAACTTTGATTTGATAACAATAAGTGCTCCAGAAAAAAATATTGATACATTAAAGCTTATGAAATGACAAATTAAAGGAAAATTATTTGAAAATAAGAAAGGATATGATATACGTAGTATAACATTTTATGATATTATTTGAAGGTAAAGTGATTAAAGTTAAAGGTAAATATCAACCAATGCTTTTTAAGTAACTTATGTCTTGTTTAACCACATGAATCTTAACAGGGTAAAAAATTGGTTTTTGAATTGAGTTTTTTGTCTAACAAGAAGGGTATTTGTGGGTCATGATGAGTTTTCTTAATATTACAATAGTATGTATGAGATTATTATACTTAAAAGTTAGAATAATATGATACTCCGTACGTAGTAATGTTAATTCATATATATATATATATGGTGCATATTGCATTTGTATTAAAACTAAAATAAGTTAAAGTATTATCTATTCAACAAATTGTTTTTTGAAAGTAAGAGGTAAATGAAATGTGTAATTTAATGTCAACAAACATTTATACTATTTAACTACTGTATCTGATATTCAATATCTTTTGATATCTTACAAAATCGAGTACTAATTATCTAATAAAGATAATTAAACATTACAAAACTAAGAATTTTTTGGTGCCCTAAGTCTTAAACAACGAGTTCTATTGTTTATTTGTTTAAGTTATGTAAATTATTTTAGATTCTACTTATTTTAGATTCTACTTCTTTTAAATCTCCAATTAAGCATTGCATTATGTGAGCCTATCTATTAATTTTGAAAACTAAAAGTTAAGGGGGCGAAAACATATATACCTAATTAAAGTATGGAAATTTTATGAAAACATCATATATATAGTAGAAAAATTTGGAAGTCCAAGGGGGGCGGTCGCCCCCCACGCCCCCCTTGGATCCGTCCCTGTTTGCAACAGATGACTTCAACCATTTGCAGATCCCAACAATGTTTGAAGTGTTTATACCACCTTATACCCACCATGTTTATGAAGTATTTTTTTGTCTGTAAACCCGATTCACAGACAATATTTTGTTTGTGCAAAATATTGTCTGTGAACCGGGGTTCACAGATAAAAAAACACTTCACAAACATAGGTGGGTACAAAAGTGGGTATAAAAATGAGTACAAACATCTTGGAGATAGGGAGTGATTCTTTTTAGCTTCACACACATAGAGCACCGTTGTGTATTTTTTTATGAAATGAATTATTCTATCACGGGCGGGCGCTGCTAAACCGGTAGGTAGTAAGGAGTTTCCCCAAAGGGTAATTTGTGAGTTTGAATGGTCGCAACTATGATAAGAGAATATCTATTACTCCCTCCGTCCCGAAAACAACTTCCCGGTTGGACTTTCACACACTTTTAAGAAATAAATTTGACTTTACTGTAGAGTGCACTGTTTTGCACTGTTTAAACACTGTTTGACACTGTTTGGCACTGTTTATCACTTTTTTGGTGTAGATAATTTGCCAAATAAGGAAAATATTGAAGTGTGAAGTTAACTTTGAGACATCCATTTAAGGAAAGTGGGAAGTTGTTTTCAGGACGGAGGGAGTAATATATTATTAAAATCCAATTTATATTCTATCAGTTAACTATCAAACGGGTGATGGGGGTCCTCACGGATGGGGTGTCATCCTCTTTATATGAAAATAACTAATCTGTCCCAGAATAATGTTGACATTATAGAAATTGCTCAATATAAGACTAAAACATATACAAAGTTCAAAAATAGGACTAAATATATATGTTTTATTCCCCAAATAGGATTTATTTCGAGCCCGTTTGGTGATCATGTTTTTCGGCTTATCTGGCTTATCGGCCAACTTTTTCACGAAACAAGTAAGGTTTTAGTTACTTTTCTGGTTGTATTGGCTGAATTTAGGTAGAGGATCTTTTTAGGTATTTTTTCATACAATTTTTTTTTGTTAATAAAATATTTAAATATAATTTTTTCATAAATAAGCAAAATCAGCCAATATAGCCACTTCAGTCAGAACTTCATAAATTTCAGCAGAATCAATCGATTCGGCCAATTTCATTGTTGCCAAACGGGCTCTTCATTCTATTACAAGAATAACTCGATTAAGAGTTCCCAAAATAAGAGTAAATGAGTCATGTTTTGAGAATAAAACATAGATAATCTTATTCATGAACTTAATGTTTATTCAAGTCTTATTTAAGAAAATTTCCTTTTTTAAATAAGCAAGTATAGGGAGTAGTGCAGGGGTGTAGCTAGGGGGGTGTAGGCCCCCGGCCCACCCCAAATTAAAAAAATGCTTTTATTTTCAGTGTAAAAACTATGTGTGAATATCTTTTCAAAAATATTATTTGTACCGATTCAGTTCCGTCTACTCCCCGGCCTCAGAGTAGTGCAGCTTGTTAGCTATAAAAGGGTGGCAAAGGAAGAAGAAAAATCTACACCTCAACGAAATCCACTCGTAGGGAAATCAGAGTAGTCCACCAGTACTCCGCCACCATGAGCACCAGCAACTTGCTTCTGAGTAACCCATTTCCCACCAGGTGTGCCGTTTATAATTTTCGTTCTAACTAGCTGCGCTGATAGATACTACTCCGTATATGTCTATCTCTTTTAATAAAAGTGGTGTACATATATCGTGTTTCATGGTTGTACATGCAGCATGCACATATGTGTGTGGTTAATAAAAATATATCATATTCTAACTTTATCCAAATTATATATGCATATATTTCTATAGAAAACTACAAAGTTTTAAGTTTTAACTAATAGAAAAAAATCACAGCTTATAAAAAACACATCTAGGAGCGGGTCAATAAAATTTATTAATAGGGGCATTTTTTTGCGTCCATATATAAATAATAAAATATAGGAAAAATTCTCAAAATATAAGTAAAAGTGTTTGAAATTCAAAAATAGGACTGCTATATTTTTGTTCTTGGAATAGGAGTAACATCACATATTATTTACTGTCATCTTGTAATTTATGACATAAATTTGTTTTCATGTGTAGTTTATGGGGAGACAAAACCACAATTAAGGGATTGAAATACACGTGGTCAAAGTCGGAGATTTCGGTGGATGTCAATACTTGGATCTATCCGCGTGTAGATATACCAGAATTTCCCTTGACAGAATTAAGTGGGTACGTGAGATATACTCCATATATAATATACCATTCTCCGTTCTGATATAATTGCAAAATAGATCCGAGGACACTACATATACCGAAAGTACTACTCTAAGACTTTATTAAGGAATTAGGGTCGGATTAAAAATGTTTTTCTCGAATTGATACTTGGTTAAGGGAAACTACAAAGTAGCCAACTGATTTTGCGACTGCTCCTTTGAATTGAGGAACGGTCCTCTCCATTATTTTCCCTTCAATTTATTTTCCCTATATATTGAGTAATGTTTGTTAGTCCTAAATTTAAAAATAATATTACCCCCCTTCCCTTATCTACTCCCTCCATCCCCCATTTATTGTCCGTTTTACCTTTTCGGGAAATCCCACTAAAATTGTCTCATATATACCATATTTGGTAAAATTTGTGTGACTCTAAATCAATCTTACTTTATTCTTAATTACTTTATCAATTAATATCAATCACACACCCACTTTTCTTAATAATCATGCCACCCTCTTCTGTCCCAATATAAAAGGGACGGAGGTAGTATTATTTTAAGTAATACTTGTATATTTACAAGAAATTTAATAAAGTTACTCCGCATAATTTTATGATAGTATTCTTAACAAAGAACATTTGCATATCATTTTCTTATTATTACTATTATCGTATATAAAAATATAATTAGTCAAAGTTTAACATAATTCATTTCAAAAGTCAAATTTGACTAAATGAAAAGACATGGACGGAGTACTACACTAAATGTATCAAGTTTATTCAAACTAGTATTCTTTTAAAATGGTTCGACCTAACTTTGATGCATTTCTGGTTCCTAAAGTTGAACGCAATCGTGGTTATATATAAAGTATATGCATGCATGGATCAGGTTATATATGCTTACTTGAGTATATATAATATAATATAATATACTATCTATATGTGTATGCATGGATCAGGTTAGTGCAGAAAGTAGTGAAAGAAGGGAGTTCCTTTAAATCAATTGTGCAAATAGCTAGGGCTGTTGCAAGCACTGCTCTGACAGAGAATGACTATATATCTGCCGTTAGTGTGTCTGTGAAGGTTGACAACCCTGAGGAAGCACTGGCTGATTCCACTGATTCTTGGGCGGGTGAAGCTTTTCGCTTCAAGGGCAATTAAACACCATCTCATTCTCACCCACCAGATCCATTCAAGAAAATAACGAATACATAATATTTGTTGTTTTCTTGGATAGATCAGAAGTTTAAATTGCTTTTCACGATTATGTTGCTGGCTTGCATGTCGTGATTGTCGTCTTTCTCTTCTGAATAAACTTAGAATAAAGAGATTATTGTCTTAATTGATAATCTCCCTATCAGTTGTGTTATGTATCGAGTCTGAATAAATGAAGCCAAGTTGTACGTTGCTTTCTGCATGCTAGTAGTGTAATTTAATTTCAGAATAATTTTACGTACGCATCTACCATCCAATGTTATTTTAGCTTTCATTTATACTACATATCTAAATGGGGGTGCTTATGGTATATATGTTTCACTTTCACACTTTCACTCCGATCATATATTTTTCTTATAAATAAAAGTGGTTATCTATTGTGACTAATTAATAAAGTACTATATCAAGTTTATGGATTATTCTTCCTGTCAGATTGATTTTTTAGAAGATGAGACCCTAACTCCCTTGTCTATACGAGACAAACTAATTCATAACCAATTAACCATGATGGTGACGTACCCCTCTGAAAATGATGACGATCATGAAAAATGACGATAATTATGATGAACTGATTGATGCAAAAATGTATACTTCGTATATGATATGGTCTGGATAGTGTGTGAACAGGAAGCGAGGTATTGAAATATTTCCCACACTGATAATTTGTGAACTAAAAAAGTATTTTACGCACCTACGATCCAATGTTATTTTAGCTTTAATATATATATAAACGGGGGTGCATATATGTTTCACTTTCACATTTTCACTCGGATCCTACGTTTTCTTCTAAATAAGTGGCCAGATTATCTATTGTGACTAATCAAGAAAAATAGTTGTATTAAGTTTATGGTGTATTCTTCCTATTATGTTGATTTTTTAACGGATGGGATCGTCCTAACTTTCTGAGTCTATATCAGACACAAATTATCACTACAAGAAAGTTTGTCTATAACGACGGGAATTACTGTGGTTAAAAGTTCATATCCTGCCACAAAAGGCTTTTAGTGACAGGAAATATCTGTCATGGCCTCTCACTATAGCTTCCGTAGTTAAAAGATATAATGAGAGGGAATGGATCCTGTCACTAATAAGTATATAATGAGGGTAAGTATACCATCACTAAAAAAACTTTTAATCACAATAAATCATCTCATTAATACCATTGTGTTGAGGTTTATTTCTTCAACCTTTGGGTCCAACACGTAAGCCCAAAGATTTCGAGTGGAGTATGCGTGTATGAGTAACTAGACTAGCCCAACAAGTGAGATGGATTAAAGACAGTAAATAGCAAGTAAGAGATTAGGTATTTATTAATCAGTTAATAACTCCCCAATACAATACGCTTGCTAATTAAAGGCTCGTCAGCCGTACGTCTTACCAGGCAGTAGAAAAGCTGCGAGTAAGAGAAATATAAGCTAGAACGCTAAGGCAGATAAGTTGCCAACCCTTTACAATGAAATAAATGTTGCTATTTATACCACCAATGGGTAGTTGGGTATGCTGACGTGGAGGCCTGTGTGTGGCTGGTGTCCCAACCACCACATCTTCAGCATTAAATGCGCTTCCCGCCAGAATCTGGGTTTCCCGCTTAATTTGTGGAGACGTACGTCCAGCTGGGATGGGGGCCTGCTCCTGATGATGCTGCAAAGGGCAGTGGGCCATTCGTATCCTAGCCCTTAGAGGATTTGTCACTTAGATTGGATTGGCATCAAGTGGCTTGTAGCTTGAGGTGGCGACGCTCGTCGCCGCCATATATTGCTTGTGGGCCTGATTCACCATTATCTGTCTGGATGTTCGTCGGGGTGGGCTTACCTTGTTGAATGGGACGCTCGTCCGAATGAGGGGTGGATGGGCCGGCCCTTTACTTGGGCCATTAACCCAACACAAGTCCCCCACTTCTGATGTTTTGAGCATGCGTGGAACATAAAGAAGTATACTGCTTCTCAGGGGTGAGACGTTCCTGGCGCGGGGCTACGCTTGCCTCGGAGATGGATGTTCCTCACCATGGTGTTTCTTAATTGGTGACGGTCCAGGAATCGAGGTGACGGCTGCCGCAGAAACGGTGCGTTTCCCGAAGAAAGGTCATCATTACATTCCTTACTCCACGTGCGACGCGTGTTCCCGGGTACGCTCCTCGCCACGCGTCACCTCCCTATTGGTTTCACAAAATGGTGCCTCCCTTATAAATACCAGGATTTCCCAGAGGCTTACGGTTCCCGATTTCTGCTCTCTCGCTCTAGAATCTCCGCTGCTCTGCAATCAGCTCGTCGACAAGGTTCTCGGCTTGCTTCCGTTGTTCCCAAGGTAATTTTGGTTTTATTTTCCCCTTCTTGTAACCCCTTTTTGGCTCTTCAAATGACTTCAATGGAGATTTCGTCGAGTTCTGGTTTGGGCTCTTCTTCCGGATCCACTTCTGGCTCTGAGTCCGGCTCCCGTTCTTCTAAGGGTGTCAGTACCTCCGGCTGCTCCGGCTCCCCACCCGTTGTAGGGACGGTTATTCAGGATGACAGCCTTGGTACCTCTACCTCTGCGAGCGCCACTTCAGCTAAAAAAATTCAAGATGACGCTACCTCCGGGGGGAATGGGGGCGACGCCCCCCAGGAGGGCGCAGTCCAGATGGTTATAGAGAACGTGGCCGCCGATGATGAGCGTCCAGAAGATTATGATTCGGGCAATGAAGCCGTTGACGGGTCCGATGTGGAGGTGTTTTATTTGGGCCTCACGGTTGTCGTGGAGCGTCATCTTTGCCCCATAAAGAATGCGATTGGGAATGAACAGTTCTTCTCAGACTTGGCTCTCAAGGAGCTTAGCATCTACTTCCCTGATCCGCTCGTCTACAGTCTCCGAGGTGCAACCCATGTGATGAGGAGACGCCCGGGAATGGTTATGGTGCACTTTGATTCTATCAGGGCCGGGCTGCGGTTCCCGCATCATCCCTTCTATATTGAATTTTTTAGTTGTTTCCAAGTGGCTCCGGCGCAATTCATACCCAACTCCTATCGCTTTATTTCTTCATTCCTCGTTCGTTGTAAGGCTGTTGGAGTAACCGCGACTCTAGAGTTGTTTCACTACTTCTTCCGGCTCACTCCCCAAAATTCCGATGGGTTTTTGAGCATAGCCGCACGTCTTAAGCGGAAGCTCTTTGAGGGGGCCTCCGACGTCCATCAATGAATAGAAGAACAAGTACTTCTTCGTCCGCTATGCGGACGCTCGTCTGCCCATCCGTTGGAATGGGTATCCCCCTAAGATTGGTTCTCCGAAGTTGTCGGACGAGCTGGAAAAGCAAGTCGAGAAGATGATGGCGGATGGGGTCCAGGATGTGGAAGACCTTCTTACCTTTGAGAAGCTTGCCGAGGCTGGGATAGGTATCGCCCGAATATCTGGACTCCCCATCCCTTCTACGTTCGTCTCCGGGATCCGGGCGTTTCTGTCCTCCGAGGTGAGTACCTTAAGGGCCAATGCCGCCCGGTACTAACTCCTTGTGTTTCTTGTTTCAGGTCCACCCCCAACTCAAGCCCAAATGAACAATGAGAAGCTTCTGAGGAATAGGAAGGGCAAGGGTGCTGCCGCCGATGCTGCGCTTACCAAGGCCAAGGCTGGCCAAGCCTCTGAGTCCAATTCCTCAGCTTCTCAAGCCGATCGACACACGGTTGAAGCGGAACAACATCTGATTGCCACGGTGATGGAAGAGGGGTCCCAAGCCCCCATTGTTGAATCTGGCGTCCCCGAGGTTGTGGCGCCCCCGCAGACAGTCCCCCCTAAGGGCGAGGACAAAGCGAAATATAAAAGGGCGAAGAGGCCCCGTGAGGCTGGCTCTTCGGGCCCAGTGGTGCAGGAAACGACCACCCTCCCTTTGAGACGTCCGGCCACCGATATCTGGGAGGAAATCGCCTCTTTGGTCGGGGTGGAATTACCAGCCCGGACGTCCACCGAAGCCACCAGCGCTGCTCTGGCAGCCGCCCTTTCATGTAAGTCGTACTTAGCGTTGAACAGATGATTATGAGTTCCCAGAGAGCTGTACCCTTATGCATTTGCTCTTTTTTGTAGACTGGGCTTTGTGTTCTTCAAGCCGAGGCGGCTAGGGATGTGGACGCCCTGCAGGCCAAAAACAAGGCAGAGGCCGCGCTGAAGAAGGCGCGTGAAGCCACTCGTCTTCACGAGAAAGAAGCAGCAGCAAAGGAGAAGGAGCTGTAGGCCGCTCTAAAGGTTAAGCAAATGGTTGCCTTTGAGAAGGCCGGGTTCAAGCTTGCCCCGATCCTTCCCGCCCCCAAGGATGAGGCCCTTCAATGGCTCGTCGATTCCTCTGGGTATGAAAATACCGGGGCATTTATGATCGCCGCCCAGAGGTACTGCGGGGGTGCATTCGGCGACGTGTTCTCGGCCGAGCTGAAGAAGCAGAAGCCGAAGGACCGCCTGACGTTCGGGGTCCGTGTGCTTGAGAGTGCTCCCTTGTCCGACAAATTTCAATACGACGTCGGGGACAACTCCTTTGCCATAGGTTACAACGAGGGGGTGAAGGCCTCATTGCCCGTCTTCGTCGCGCTGTAAGGCCCCAGCTTCAACTTGGCCCAGCATACTGAGGATGCCGAGCTGATATGGGCTCTGGGTAAGCTGGGGAGAGATCGGCTCCGCGAGGGGGCCAAGGCAAAGGGTGAAATCCCGGAACCCCCTTCCCCCGAACCAGAGCTCGAAGAGGAGGAGCCCGCCCAGGAAGACGCTCGGCTGAGTCCCCCTTTTTTGTTGATGTAATTAATCTTCCCTTACTTTTGGTTTGATTGTAAATTCCAGCCGGTAGTGCCGAGGAATACAACCACATTTTGCTCCACGATTGTCTCTACGTTTGTGTTCTTTTACTTGTCATTTCTTCATGTTTGATAAGTGTGTGCGAGACCCTTATTTGATCTTGTGCGTAGTTTTCCTTTGGTGTGCAAAAGGTCATCCCCGATGATACTGGCAATTTTGTTGGGCATTACTTGGCCTCACATCCTATATTTTGCCAAGTATGTGGGGACGAGCGTATCCGCCTGATGTTTGTATCCGGCGACGACGTTCTTCCATCATTGAGCTTGGTGTCGCTTAGCATCATATTTTGTTAAGTACGCAAGTACGAACTTATCTGTTTGGTGCCCATATTTGGTAGCGACGTCCGTCCGCTTTTGACTTTGGTATTTTTCAGCCATATACTTGTACTTTCCGTGCCAAGCACTAAGGTCCAAATTCCCTCGGAGACGCTCGTCCGCCCAACTCGCACTCTTTGGAGACGCTCGTTTTTTCCAAGCATGTGGGGACGAACGTAATTTTAGTGACATGTGGGAACCCTTAAGGCAGATGAGCCCATTTTTTCTTTTGTACCCTTTGGGCGAGTGGCAAGTGCTTGGTGGTGCGCATCGGCCCAAGTTCTTATGTAGGACGTACGTATTTTAAAGTGTAAAGTAAAAAGGTATATTTTTTGTACTAATATTTTATATAAATTGTATTTTATGTGGTTTTTAGAAAATACAGTCTATTGTACATTTTTTTGTACTTAGTTTTTAGAAAATACAGTTTATTGTAATAATTAAATACATTATATTTTTTATTAATTATTAGAAAAAACAATGTGTTGTACTTATGAAAATGAGTGCACGTTTTGGGATTAATTTTAAGAAAACAGTATATTCTTTTGGTATTAATTTAAAAAACAGTCTTGTTTGTATTAATTTTAATAAAAACAATGTATTATAATATGAAAAAAAGTGTATATTTTTTGAATTATTTTAGAAAAACTGTTAAATATAAACTGTTAGGGAAAAAAGTATTTTTTGTGTGCCAATTTTTATTAAAAAAAAATTGTGATAATTTTTTGAAAATACAGTGTATTGTAATAATAAAATAGAGTTTAGTTATTTTATTAATTTTAGGAGAAAGATTTTGTTGTACTAATAAAAAACAGTGTATTTTTTGTATTAATTTGTAGAACAATATATATTTTTTGTATTATTTTAGAAAAAAACAGTTTGTTGCACTAATAAAAAACAGTGTATTTTTTGTATTAATTTTTATTAAAACAGTATTTTTTTTGTATTATTTTAGAAAAACTGTTTGTTGTACTGATAAAAAAAGTGTATTTTTTTGTATTAATGTTTAGAAAAATATCTATTTTTGTATTATTTTGGGAAAAAACGGTATATTTTTTGTGACTAATTTTAACATGTTAAACTTTTTTGCAAGTTTAGCTTGAGGGGCACCAATTTTTTAAATGTTTGATGTTGGAATCATATATGTAACATATTAAACTGTTTATAAGTTTAATATGAGGGGGGCTGATTTTTTTAAATTAATATTTTATAACTTCAATAAATGATACTCCCTCCGTCCTATAAAATAATTCCTGCATTGACTTGGATCGGAGTTAAAAAAGTGGGAATAAAGTGAAAATGTATGGTTGTGGTTGAGTAAGAAAAAGGTAAGTGAATGTGAGCCACACAAAACTTTCCAAAAAAGGAAATATGAACTATTTTTTGGGACGGCCCAAAAAAGAAACCGGGAACTATTTTGCGGGACAGATGGAGTAATATTTATGGAGCAGAAAATAATTCATGTACGAGGTCATGACAGAAAATTATGGTATAAAATGTCCAAAAAGTGAAGTTCTAATAATATTGAATCATCTTTCAAAAAAATATTGAATCATAACATATTTGTTCGAAAATAAGACTATTACAATAAATAAACCAAATAGAGCATGCATTAATTTGTAGAGCATCAAATAATTCATGTTTGAGATATGAGCATGCATTTATTCAACAAGTTCAAGTAGAAACAATTCAACAAATAAAGCATCACATTTGAATCATTAGATCATGCTTCAAACTTATAAACGGAAAATATATGAGTATGCATTTTAAAATAGTATATAATAACCGAGCATATAAACGTATAAACAAATAGAGCATGCATTTTAAATGGAAGTTGAACGATAATAATAAAAACATGCATTTTTTGGCATTTTAAGACATTTATAATCAAATATTAATAAACATAGGAATGAAAAATAATAAAAAAAATCAGACACATAACCTTGATGAAGAAGCTAAGGCAAGACGGCGACCAGGGGCGGACCCAGGAAATTTATCTTGGGAGGGCGCTAACTTAAAAAATATATTTTTTGGGAGGGCGAAATTTTTTTTTTGGTATATATATACACTAAAAAAAATTTGTTGGAGGGGCCACTGCCCCCCTGGGTCTCTACTACGGTCCGCCCCTGACGGCGACGAACGGAGGAGCGACGGCGGCTTCAAACGAAGGCAAGCGGCGATGGACGACGGAGAGCGGCAGTGGACGGAAGCGAGCGGCAGTGGGCAGTGGCTGAGGTCGGAGGAAGAAGGGAGAGAACGGAGTTGGCCGAAATAGTTAGGGTTTGAAGTATGGGGATAAAATTTTGTCAAGTGATCGGTTTTATATAAACGTTTTGTCACGGACGTATCCGTGATAAAATCCGTGACAAATTTGAATTTTTTAATGTCACGGATGTTCTTACAGATACGTCCGTTACAAAAGCCACTCGGTAACCGAGACGTCAATAGCGCAGAGTTGACCTCGAAAAATGTTTTTGTCACGAATGATCCGTGACAAAAGCCGTGACAAATTAAAAAATTCAAATTTGTCACGGCTTTTGTCATGGATCTTTCCGTGACAAAAGCCTTGGTAGCCAATATGTCAGAGCCTCGGGAAGAAGGGTGGACAAAGGAATAAGTTCGATTTTTTCACGAATAGATCTGTGACAAAATCCTTGACTAGTTTTTGCGTAAATAAAAGTTATTCGGTCCAAAATTATAAAGGCAAAAAATATGAGTAACCCAAAACCAATTGACTGGTAGTTCATGTGTAGAAAACTCCAACAACTGAAAGAATGTACAGTTGATGAAGCCGATAAATGCGGAAGCAATGAAGAAAATCACCGAGCTGCAGTTAGATAGACCTTTTGAAAGGTTTGACAGCTATGACGAAGTTGAATCAAGCTCAAGCGGCGTGGGAGAGGGGAAGTTCTGATCTTGTGTAGAAAACTTCAAGAAACAGGAAGAATGTTCAGAGTATATGAAACCGATAAATGCATAAGCTGAGAAGAAAATTAACGATCTGTTAGATAGGACTCTTGAAAGCTTTGATGATGAATCAAGCAGTGAATCAAGCAGCGTCGGAGAGGGAAAGAAATGTACCGCTACTACCAAAGGGAAAAAAACTTAAATTTGAAGTTATTTGTAATGTTGTTTTTTATTTATTAGTAATGTTGTTTTTTTATTTATCAGTAATGTTAGTTCTGATGATTTGTATCATTATTGATTTGAATTATGAGTAATGTTAGTTGTTAAATTTAATAAATAAATTCGCGTGTTTTCTACTTGTCAATTTGATGAAACAAGAAGATATAATTTTTTGTATTCCTTATGTCAATTGTTATTAAAATTTAATAAATTATAAAGTAGACTTAATATTATTATGAGGAAGAATCAGATTCAAATTAAAAAGTTTTCAAGTAAATAGTTTAGTTTATAACTATTTTCGACTAAAATATAATAAAAAAATTCGAATTACTAAAATGTAATTAATTTTGCATTTTCGAATTATTAAAAAATTCAAATTATCTTGAGTAGAATATAATATAAAAATTCGTAGAAAGCTTTTGATTTAATTGTTTTCTTGAAAAATTGTAGTGAAGGATTTCGAACCTAATTATTTTCGAATTCTCAGTAAAAAAAACTCAAATTATCGATCAATTAAAAATTTCAAAGTAATTTCAACAAAATTTGGTTTAAAACAATTTAATTAGCTAGAAGAGGAACATTATCACAATTACAAATTAAAAGTAATTACAATGCTTGCACAAATTAACAATACAATTAATCATTATCAGAATCAGTATTTTCTTCATAGATAACATCTTCTTGTGAATCTTCATCATCATCTATCCATTCTTCTTCTTCCTCCTATTCATCTTCTTGTTCTTGATCATACTGTTAAACAATTTTAAACTCAGTTTGAGATGTTGGGCGCGGAGGATGTGTTTCTGGCATGACTTCAACATGTTCGCCATTTGGATCACTTAACTCAATGTTATAGTTGACTATCTCAGAAATAGGCGGAGGTTGGAAAAAATCTTGTTAAAAAGCATCAAAATCAACGTCCTTGTGTTGAGTCTGTAATACAATTTTCCTCGGACGGATAGTACATGCACACCCTTAAGGATTCCGTGTCTGTGATACAATTTTCCCCGTTCATCAGTATATGATTATGTATGATTATTTGATGTAGAACTTGGAGATTAATCTTACACGAAATACTAAGATATACATCTACAATCTAGAAAAAATTACATTACAAATATACAAACCAAAATATTTGATTTGGTCTCTCACATATATACTACATTCGTCCCTTACAACTTTGTCAACTTTCCTTTTTTTTGATGTCTCACTAACTTTGTCACTTTCCTTTTTAAGTAAGGAATTTTTGGTTCCAGTTAATTGTCTCTCCTCTACACAAACATCAACCACACAATTTTTACTTTATGAATCCCGCCAAATTTGGCAAAGTCTTAAGGGATGGAGAGATTATATTTTTAGTATTAATATTTGAAATATGATTGTGGTTGAAAGAATATTATAAAATAGCAATAGTATTCAAATTGATATTTCATATAGTTATTACTCCCTCCGTCCCAAAAACAACTTCACAGTTTGACAATCACACAGATTAAGAAAATAAATTTGACTTTACTGTAGAGTGCACTATTTTGCACCGTTTAAACACTGTTTGGCACTGTTTAAACACTGTTTGGCACTGTTTAGCACTTTTTTGATGTAGATAATTTGCCAAATAAGGAAAGTATTGAAGTGTGAAGTTAATTTTGGGACTTCCATTTAAGGAAAGTGGGAAGTTATTTTTGGGACGAAGGGAGTACTAAACAGTCATATATAGTTAATTTCATTTTGTTTAATTTTTTTAAAATTATTACACCCATCCCTTATAACTTTGTTATCTTTTTTTAGATTTCTCAAAAACTTTGTCATTTTCCTTTTTAATCAATCAATTTGTGTCTCTTCTGGAAAAATTCTCAATCACGCAATTATGAGTTTATTATTTTTTGTGCAAGTCAAAATTGACAAAGTTCGAGGGACGAAAAGAATAAATAACTAATGAATGACCTAAAATTAATGGATATATTAGACTTTTAGAGTATACGGAGTAATAAATATCTTTAAACCACTAAAAGGATACCTTTCCATTCCTGAGGGCCTCTGAGAATTGACCGGAGAGTTATTTGGGAGGACATAAGTTCAGTTTTGATCGCACTCTAATAGAAAGACAGTGAAGTCTTTTCGAAATCATTATTTGGATTTGAATC